GGATGATGATTTGGGTTGATATTGGGCATTAGAATTCGTGCAAGGCATGAGGAAAAATACCAGGTTCAATGTATGACAACAAGGGAAAGAAATTATCAAATATGACAATTCTTCAAAGTCTTGATTTTTTTCTTTCAAAACCATGATCAATGCATGGATTCTTGCCATGTTTATTCACATTTCCATTCCTCTATAAATATACAAGCCAAACATAAGCCAAGGACACGAAATCATCACTTATAAAAAGCTATCAAAATTCTCAAAAAATTGTTCAAAGGTTGTGAAAATTCAAAACCTAATTTCCAGCCTTCCTCCATCCAATCTCATGCCATCTTTGCACTCCTGAGGTCCCCAGGAGTCATTTCCATCCCTCACTTTGGCCTGGAGCGCGCCCGAGTCGGCCATACAAGTTGTACCATTTGGTATAGTTTATTTAAATCTAATCTTGTTGATCTGCATTTATTAATCCATTTGACGTTTGTATACATGTTTGTAGTCGTATATAGAGCAGGTTGGACGTGAAGCATGTAAGTTTTGAGGCCTGGTTCATGAGATGCCATTCTTAACCCCGATCGGAAGCTTGGCTTTGAAACGCAAAATTTAGAGACCTTTAGCAAAAACTAACGCCATATTCGGACTCAAGCCATCTCTTTAAGGGGGTAGGGTTGCTTTGATTCATTAATTGTGTTGGTTTTGCAGATTAGGGTTTGGAACCCTCCGGAGAAGACAACCAGAAGGTTGACTCTGATAGGTTGACTCCGGTGGCTAAGATGTAGTCTTCCTATTGGCCCATTCGAATCAACAACGCGCATTTTTTCTGTTTTAAATAATTACTGCTTTTGTTTTCATATAATGTTATTTGTTTGGTTATGCTAACGAATGAGTGAAAATGGCCCAGCGGTAGCAAGCAAGCGTTCAAGGTACTCCCTTTCCTAGAACCTGGGTTCAAGTCCCAGGTTTTGTCATTTTTAGTCTTAACTTCTTTTTTTTTTGGCAGATTTTTTTGAGTGCCTGGGCCTTTGTGGATTGGGCTTAGCAAATTCAAATTACAACCCCCCCCCCCCCAATTTTTGCTTCTAATACCAGGCCCATGCTACTTTATTTTTTTGTTTTAATTTATTTATTCATTTTTAATCTTTTTTTTAATTATAATCATAAAATCAGAAAAATCGTAAAAAAAATGTAGATTTAGGTTTTTAATTAAACTTTAATAAATTAATTAATTTAATTATTTTGACTTTTTATTTCATTTTAAAATCAATTAGATTTAGGTTGCAAATCTTTTTCTTAATAAATACAAAAAACATGTAGAATTAACCTTCTTTTATTAGTTTTTATTTTCATTAACAATCAATCGTTTTGTTAATTTATTAAAAATAGGTTTAGTTATTTGATTATTTTTAATTCAAATATTTTCTTAAAATAAACAAAAACAACCATAAAAGAATTTTCTTAATTTTCATAGATTTCCTTAGGGTTTTAAACAAACGTTCTTTTTAATTCTCGCACGTTCATTTTACTTCCCGCATTATTACTTTCTTATTATTGTATCCACCCATGGATTCTAATAGACTAATTAGTTTTTCTTTACCGTTTTTACCCCCAGTTTTGGACTTGTAATTTTCCCTCTCCCCGAAACCATGTAATAGCTAGTTTAAATTCCGCACTTTAATTTTCCACACTAATATTGAACTGTTAGATGAATGCCTAATAGGATTGCATGACAAAAACTAAAAGCAAACGTTAGTAAACTTAACATCAAAGATAAATAACTGAAACACAACACACTTGCACATGCGCACCTCTAGTCTAGAGTACTCCCACTTCGGTTGCCTTCAGAATAAAACATTCACAACTCTCGAACGTAAGGGGTTTTAGTGGCAACCCTCTGGTTCAAAAATCATAAAAATGAGCCTTTCGATGTTACCTCGATACATGATCTTAAAACCTTAGGGGTGTTACTAAAGTATCTTGCTAAGTTGTCTTTATGATTGTACGATGACTCTTGATTGTCCCTCAAACATCCAACGATAGGGATACCTACTCATTAATAGTAGGATAGCACTGTGTTGTACTCCAAAATTTTCCCTCCCATTTTACTCAAGACATGCTCATTGAGGTTCCCAATTGCTCAAGGATGACCAAGAATTGACCAGACAAATTCTCCTCCTAAGGCAATGAACCTCTAATTAGGGTTTCAATTTTCATCAAGATGTTTGAGCTTCAAAGGTCTCAAATGTTTTTCAGGGTCCTAATATGTCTTCAATATTGTCCATGCCAAATTTCATGCCTTGCACTACAAGTTTGCTCAGTCAATTGCCCAAATGTTTAAAAATTAAATGTACTAGGTCAAAAGTCAACTGTGGCCTATATACAGTCAAACTTCAAGGTTTTTGGTCAAACTCACCATTTAGAAGTGATATCCATCATTTGATCAAAGGTTGATCATGATTCCTCAAGAAATGCTCCTAATTCATCAAAAGTCAAGAATAGCTAATTAGGGTTTCTATAGGAAAAGTCAACCAAACTTTGACCAGGAATAACTTTGATATAACTCATCCATTTTTACCCAACCAAGGCTCATTTTGAAGAGAATTCAATTCCCTACAACTTTTCTTCAGCCCACAAGTTCAAGAGATGCACCATTTGAAAGACACAAGCTTATACATTACATGTCATTTTCAAAAGTCAACAAAAGGCATTTTTTGTCAAGACCATTTACATCAAGATAAAATCTTCAAATTCAAAATTGATCAAAAGAGGGATTTAAGTAGACATCTTGGGCTTTCCAAAAAGTCCAAGATCATCATCATGAGATGATAATTGAGGAAGTTATGGCTTACCCAAGTTGGAAAATTTTGGGAATTTTCAAGAATTATGCATTGAACAAATTTGAAATTTTAAGGCAAGGGCTCAATTTCTTGGATTTCAAACATCTCCCTAAGATTATAGAGTACCTCCAAAAACACTCTTACCATGCCTTACATTTTTTTACTTATTTTGTACACATTTATTTTAATTTATTTCAAATATAAAATAAAGTGTATAAAATAATTAGAAATATGTTTTGGCATTTAGGCTGGTGTTTTAGCTTGCCTTGAAGCTCAAGATTTCGTGCAGCCATGTCCATATTCATTCAAATTCAAAAAATGACAAGTTTCTCTGTTTTTGGCGAAAGTTACAAATTTCAAAAAATATCACCTTTCTCTTATTTTCCATCCATCACATACATAAATCGAAGAAGTTAAGGTCATTTCTCAAGTCCTATTCACTTAAGTTTTCTATTGAACTATGACCTTCATATTTTTCACTTTTATTTTTTAATCACTTATGTTTTAAAAGAAGAATATGGTCCAATTTACAAAACTATCTATAGTTTTGACGATGTTTTTCCCTTTTTTTTTCTTCGATCTATGCATTTGTTTAAAAATCTTTCTTTGTAGTATTGGCAAAAAAAGAATTAGTCAATTTTTAGATCTATTAAATTATAATTTTGTTTACAATATATCTGTCGCTCTTATATTTCAATTTGTCATGTATAAAAGGAGATAGAAGATAAAATATCATCTATAATCTTATTTATATAGGGTGGATAAATCATAAGATTAAGAAGTATATAGCTAGATTGATGGCAAACTAGCCTTATGTTTTGTTTGTGTTTATCACATGGATGATTGGATCAATCTTAGATCGCCTTGTGTAAAAAGTTTTTTGATTTAAATATATTTTTATTTTCAAAAAACAAAATTATTATGTATAAAAAATGGTCTAATTTATAAAATTTTAGTATAATTTTGATAGAAAGTGTTTGTTTCAAATTATAAAATATCATTCTTTAAAATTCTATTTTCAGAATTATTATTTTTAAGAATAATATTCTTATGCATGTATTTGACAAAAATTAAATTTCTCAAAAATGTTTACAATATTTATTTTAAAAATTATAAAAAAATAAAAATTAAAATAAATGTAACTAGTAATTGAAAATTCTAATTAGTTAAATTTGAAAGTACGAGAATAATTATGAAAAAAAATTATGTGTAACAATATTTAGTATTTAGGAAAAGATAATTTCAATCCAAAAGTTGAAACAACCCGTTTTTTTTTTTTTTTTTCTTATCTAATTATTGAAATTTATTAGAAATTAAACTTATTTTTCTAGATATTTTTACACATTATTTTTGACAATATTTAGGAAAAGGTAATTTCAATCCCTGAACCGTAACGTGTATTAATACGTACTATACAGTATCATGCACAGTGCATTTTTCAAACAACCTAATCCACGTGTCCCTTTTTGACTGGCCAGATAATACTCCTTTTCTTATTATTATTTTATTTGATAATTTTTATTTATTTTTAATTGCACTTAGTTTTTACTTTTTACAGTTTACAGGTTGCAATAAAATTCTCATAAGTTGTCACTTTTTTTAGCATTAAACAGCTTTTTCTTTAATTCATTATTTGTCTTATTATCTTCTCAACATCACACTATTTTCGCTTTTTGTTTCTAACTTTTCTTCTCACACACACACACACAAGCAAACCCACTAAAACTTCGAAACGGTTTCTCTTCCACGTTTCAAAACCCTTTCAAAACCTCTCATTTTCTTCAATAGCTTTTAACCGCAGAAGCGCTTTTTCACAATCACTTCAGCGATAATAAAATCACTGAAAACTTCCATCTCCGATTCCATTTTCATTCCTTGTTCTACACGGAAGCTTACCAAAATCAGTGTTCTTCTGATTAATCACTGCTATATTCATTTAAGCTCAAATCAATGTACGTTTCACTCTTCGTTCTCGTTTTTCACCTTCGTTTGCTTACTTTTTTTTTATGAACTCTGAAACGTGTTGATTACGTTTCTATTTATAGTAATCGCTTTTAGTTTTTATTTTCGTATAATCGCTTACTTCTGAAATCTACTTATACGTTTCGGTTTTGTTTGAAAAGGAAATAGGAATAGTATTGAAATTGTGTTGTTTTACAGAGTGGAGGCATGGAAAGGGCATTGGTTTGTACCAACCCTAAGAAGAGGAAGCTGGTGATAAGTGACGACGACGGTGATATTGGAATACGAAGAGTGTCCAGGTTCAAGGTTTTGTTGCCGAATGGAACCAGTGTGGAATTGACAGTTCGGAGTGCGGAAAATGAAATGCATGTTGGAGATTTCGTTGGATTAGTTCGAGAAAAGTATTTGGAACTTAAGAGAAAATGTGAATGGATGAAGAAGAAAAGAGATATAAATTGGAAGGGTAGTGGTTTGTATATCGAGGATGCTGATAATAATAAGATCACAAATGTGATTGACTTCAAAAATTTCATGCCTCGCAAGTGCCATATTTTGCGCCTTAATGTAAGTATAACACACTGATTAAGCCTCCTTTTGTTTGTGTTATTGTGTGTTGGTGTTTCTTTACTCTAATTTCGAGTTTGGCGTTATTACTCCTTTGCGATTTTGCTGTAGCTTTGGTATTTATTTTCATTGTCTGTGTTTCTTTTCAATCAGGACGGGAGTAGCGAGGTTGCTCATATCTTTGAGGTAGGAATCTCTCTTGTTTCTCTGCCCCTGTCAGCTATATTGTTAAACAATATGATACTGTTGCCGTATTTCTTATTATTTTGCTATCTGAAATGCAGAATATGTGGGACTTAACACCGGATCCAGATTTGCTGCTGGAGCTTCCTGAAGAATATAATTTTGAAGCGGCTATTGCTGACTTGATTGTAAGCTCATTAACGAAACACACTATAAACTCACTTATTTTAGGAAGGTTTTGCACATGTCAACACTAACACTGTTATTCATATATTATCAGGATAATGCTTTGCAAGCTGTGTGGTTCAACGAGAAAAATAATCGGAAGCTAGTTAGGTATAGTTGCATATGAAATGAATGTGATAATGATAAGTTGTTGAGTTTCTAATGATTAATAGGTGCCACCATTTTTGACTTAAACTATCTTCAACTATTTCTGATTGTTATAAATGTATTGAAATACATAATTAATTTTTATAATCTATAGTGTTTGTTTGTTGGTTTCTTAAACCTGTGCAATCAATTATCACTTGTTCATGTGACTTTTTCTGTTTTGCAGAGTAAATGTTACTGACGCTAAAATTTCAATTTTTGACAATGGTTCTGGAATGGATGACTCCGATGAGAATTCACTAGTAAAATGGTAGCTATACGTTCTTAGATTATTTCATGAACTTTTCAAAGTTGCAAAGTACATTATGATAATCTGTTATTTGAGTTAAAATACACTTACTTTCAGAAGCCCTCTCATACCATGTTTGGTGATTGTATTTTTGTGTGTTGAATATGATCACGCATGCTGTATATTTATATGCAAAATAGGTATACACAATAATTAATAATATAATTTACACTTATGACTAATTGAATACAAATCAATACTAATTGATTTGTAACCGATTCTCAATAGAACTTTTTATTATTTAAATTTTAGCTAAGTGCAGATTTGTTGACCAGCTGATTTCAGCTTTTTCTCTTTTTGAATCAATTTCATTGCATGTGATTCCTTAGTTGCTATCACAATATGTCACTTTCTTGCTTAATGATCTGACATATCAATTTGAACTCTTTTTCTATGTTGATGGCCAAAGAGATTCAAAGTTAGGTGTCATGATCAAAATTTCAGGAAAAAGTTTGTTTTTTCAATTAATCAAGCTTAATATCTAACAAAATGGATATAAAGGAGAGACTGAAATTGATTGCGCTTCTGATAGATAGCAATAGGCGATATAGTTTTCAGTTGGAAGAGTCTAACTATGTTTTGCAGATTTTGTTGGTTATCTGTGTGAATATAACAATCAGATATACCTTCATTTTATTAAAAGCAAAGTCTGAAGGAGTTGTAGGACTGTGTTTGGTTTGAGAAAACATTTTTGACAAGAATCCTACCTTATGTACATTTTGTTTTTATATTTCTTGTTGTGTTCTCCATTTCAACTTTGTTGTTTTATAAGTATTTGCTGGTCCAAATATGAAAACTTTCTAAAAACCAAAAACAAGTCCTAAAATTTCAATTATGCTAAAACATTTTAGTGTTTTTCTAAATTATAACTAGTTTCAAATATTGCTAGTTTTTGTTCGGAATAAATGAGTATTTGTCTTTAACACAATAGACTTTTAAATTTTAAAATATTAAATCACACTTTCAATGCCTTCAATCTATTTGTACCATTGCCTTTTAAGATTTATCTGTTTGTATATTCCACCGTTTCTCTTGATTATGGACTTCTTATCTCTTGCACAGGGGAAAGATGGGCGCTTCAATTCACAGATTATCAAAATCAACGGCTATTGGGGGAAAACCCCCATACTTAAAGGTATTCTTCATTTTTGCCCTCTTTCACTCTTTAATCTTTGTTGTAACATGCTCTAATAGTAATAGGACAAACATCTGGACGAAAAAGTATCCTTATTCTAGAATCGCATACTTTCATTGAACACTATTTCTTATTTTTTGCTGACAATGTTCAGATAGGGCAATCATTTTAAGCTAGAAGAGCATACCTGCATAAATAATATATTGGTGACCGGAAGCATTTCCTTTAGCTACACTTCTGGTCAAAATTGTTGTCTATGATGCTTATGCACAAAGAAACATTCAAATGTTATCATTGGGATTGAGATTGGGATTGATTACTCTTTTACACATTTCAAATTATTGTTTGCTTAGTTGTATTGATTGTGGTGTGCAGCCTTGCTTTGGGATGTTTGGATATGGAGGACCTGTAGCATCTATGCACCTAGGGAGGTATGATTGTTTTTAAGATAAATATCTTTCTGTCTTCTTATGTTCCAAGTTCATCTAAAAATTTATCTCTTTATCGCTCCCTGTCTTATTTTTTTTATTCTCACATTACAGGCGTACACGTGTTTCATCCAAAACAAAACACGTAAAGAAAGTCTACGTGTTACTTCTTCAGAGAGAAGCTTTGTTAAGTAGATCTCATTCTGAAGTTACATGGAAGGTATTCGTGTTTCCCTAACTATGCAATGGCTTTAATGCATACTTTTTCTTAGTATTTTAATGTTCTCAACTGATAGTATCATTTTCTTTTTCATTTAGACCAATGGTGGCATAAGAGAACCTTTAAAGGATGAAATTAGTAATTCTGATGGCAGTTTTACAAAGGTATACATCTCTCGTCTTTGGCCTATTCTTGTTTGTTTTCAGCAGCATTGCAGAATGGGAGATGAAGGAATTTAATGGAGGGAAGGAAAGCAAATGTATGGGAGTGAAAATAAATATCCTAAATGTTATGGTTGGAGTGGAGGGGAGGGAAAGGAAAAAGAAAATCAAGGTTATTCGTTATTATACCCTTCTGCAGAAAGTTGAAGAAAGGAAACATATGAAATTCATGAAGTAGTTTTGGTAATAAAGAGTGGGATGACATATGTAAGGATGAAAATGAACATAAGATTTGGTACTTTTGCAGGTTGATATTTTGGAGCCAAAAGTAAAAGGTGTTGATATTAACAAACTCCAGTGCCACCTCAAGGACATATATTTCCCCTACATTCAGGTTAAAACATGCCTATGAATTGAATCAATTTAACAGATGAGATTGCTTCATATGTTCATTTTCCTTTTAATATTGTCAATATAAAAATTATCATTTATCATCATTATGATTTACATAGGCAGTGTATGCCCATTAAATTCATATCTTATCTACTGCTATGTATTGTAATTAATAGCTTGTTAGTCTTTTTATGTTTTTCTTCCCTTTGATCATTTTCTTTTCCCCAACTATATTTGAGTTTGTTTCTTGTGCTCAAAACTATTAGGCTGAAATTGTCTGGAAGAATTGTATTTCATACAAATCTGTATTTGGATGTATGTTTCCATTTCCACAAATGGCATGAACCTGAATAGTGGAGAATATTCTGGAAAGGAACAAAATTAATGTGGTGACTGAGTGGACCTTCATTATCCTTGTTTTAAGAAGTATACATTTGGATACAATTAATATAATATTTTACATCTAAATAACCCCTTTAATTGTTTTTTTAATTGTTGTCACTATCATTTATAGTTTTACCAAACTAAACCTTAACTGCCAAAAGATTTTAAGAATAGCCATTACATAGTTTTCTCACAAACATTTCCCTGTAAATGATGAAGCCCCATTTAAGAGATTCCATAATAAGTCATAATTTATGAGGAGGGCACTATCACAGCAATCCACCATAATGTTCTAAATCTTAGTACATTCAGTTTTTATGCAACAGAAAGTTGGTCACAAGCCTCTGAAACATCATTGTTCCTTGGCTAAATATTGTTGTTATTGCCTTGAAAGTTTGACTTTTAATTTGTTTCATTATGCAGAATGATGACTTGTCTGCCAAAGGGAAGACTATTACACCAATTGAGTTTCAGGTTCTTGCTCCAGCATTACCTTCACTTAGCTTATTGATACTATTATGGATTAATCTGGTAGCATATTTGTGTCAAGTACTCAATGAATGTTAGAACTAGGAACTACACTCAACTCTTCAAAGATACTTGTATAATGTAATTCTGTTATACATGTTCAGTTAGTTTAATTATTTCCGAGTTGGCATAGTGTTACGTCTCAGGTATTGCGGAAACTTCTTCTAGGTAAGTATCGTTGCTTTGTACACTTTGGTTTGATATTTTGCTTAGTAGATTATATTGGGAAAAAAATAAACAAGACATATAATCGAATTTCTGAATCTTGATAGCGGATTCTCTTGTTCTTTTGGTGACTGGCCACAGGCTCCGTGCTTTGCGCTCCTGTAAAATTTATAGTTGTCACTTTCAATATATTAAAGAAAAATTGTAATTTGTGTTTCATGAAAGGGTTACTTGATGTCACATAACTGCATATACAAGATTGTAACAAATTTGGTTCTTTTGTAGATCAACGGTGTTGATCTGACAGAGATTCAGGGTGGGGAGGTTGCAACTACCAATTTGCATTCTTGCAATGGTCCTGAATTTGTTTTGCAGCTTCGTCTGTCAATTAAAGATGACCATGATGGTATGTTCATGAATTATAATTATATCTAGCAATATATAGCTTGAGATAAGCTAAATGATTTTTTTTAATCAGTATGTCTAACATTATATACAGCTTAACCATTTCACCTGATTAACTGTAAAGAAATGTTGGTGTTAAGTTCTAATTTAATAACCATATTTCAGGTACAAGAGGGTTCCACGAAGCAAATGCACGCCTTAGATTTGTATATTTCCCTTTCACAGAGGTAACAAAAATAAATAGCCTCTAGTATTTGATTTCGTCTATCTTGGATCTCATAATCAAAACCAATCAAATGAATCCTTACACTATTGCAGGGAAAGGAGAGTATTGAGAGGGTTTTGGAAAAGTTAACGGCCGATGGTTATATTATAAGAGAAAACTTCCAAAATTTTAGCCGAGTCTCCATTAGGCGGCTTGGTCGTCTCCTTCCAGATGCTCGTTGGGTAAACTTCAAACCTTTTCTATGAACTTGTTGATAAATTATTGAAAGTTATATTATTTTTTAACTGGTTGATAAATAATATAAATATATTTTTGATAGAAAACTCATAAACATGTTCTTTAATGTTGTTTTATTTTTATCAACATAAAAATCAGTCATGAATACTAAAACTTTCAACCATATTTCTTTCGATTAAATTATTAGTTTGTTTTAAAGTCGATTGAATTTTTAGTTATTTATGCCTAATTGATCGAAAATCATCTTTTAGAGGTTGCTGATCAGTTACAATTCTTTTTGGCCAGACTTTCCTTCCTTTTATGGACTTCAGGAGCAAAAGAGTAAATAGCAGTAGAGCAAGCATATTGAAGAGATGTTCTCTGAGGGTTAAATGCTTTGTAGGTATGTAGTAACCATATGTTACCTGACATTCTCATATTTTTTATGATTCTTTAGTTGGTCTTCTAAGTCCGACTTTCTAATTTGCAGAAACTGATGCTGGTTTTAAGCCAACCCAGTCAAAGGTTAGTCTTGCAATAGTTTAAAATATTTGTAAATAAATTGTGTGCCCTCCGCTACGTGACCTTTTTTCTGTTGAATATTGTTGTGATAATTTACATATTGGCTACAATTACATATTATGTGGTGCACATATAAAGATGCATCATGTATGATCCAGTAATCCTTCCAAGAAAATACAAGTGCTCGTGCTTTTTCATATTTGTGTATACATGTATACTCCTATGAAGTACGAAACTACGAAAACGTTGAGAAATAGTATAACTGGATATAAATCTAATGAGTCTGCTATGTGTCTACTATCTAGTATGATCGACTAATATACAAAATGATATTGTTGTCTTTTAATTTTTTCTTAATTTAAGGATAATCAAAAGAATAATGCATTTTCAGACGGATTTAGCTCACCACAATCATTTCACCGTGGCTTTGAAGAACTTAGGAAGTAAAGTTTCAGACAAAGAGACCGGTATTTTCTGCTTCTAAATTCTCATCACACTGTTTCAAGTTAAACTCTCATGACTGATTTTTTCTGCTTATTAAATACTCAAAAGTAAGCTTATCTGTTATTTGCAATCAGCAGCTGTTTTTGTTGAAATTAGCACGGGTGCAAAAATGTTAACTCTTGCGCAGCTCGAAAAGGAGTACCAGGAGTGGGTAATAAACATGCACAATCAATATGACGAAGAAGCTGATGCCACCGCTGAGGATAACCCAGTTATAATTGTCAGTCCACCAAACAAGAAAGCACTTGGCATTTCTAAAGAGGGTATGACGCACTAAATTTTTATGGCAATTACTTCTATTTATGATTATTGCTTGTGGCAGTTCAAACCACAGTGTTTTGGAGAAAATGCTCATGTATACTAACAAAGGAATAAATGAACCTTGCTAATCCTCTGATACGTGAATTTATGATATGGATATTTGAACTGTTACTCTATACTAGTCTCATGCAGTAAATATGTATATATTTGCTGCTATTGAACTAAATTGAATATTCCATTTTGTGATTCTATTTTTCTTGCTAATATGAAGTCGCCAGAGTTCACCAGATTCTGAAAAGAAAGGAAAAATCATGGACTCATGGACAGAGAATTAAAGTGTTAAAAGGAGCATGTCCTGGGATTTCCAACAACGTTTATGCAACCATAGAGTACTTTTTGCTTGAAGGATTTGAAGGAGACCCGGGTGGTAAGATTCCTGAATGTAGCGCATTAAGTAAAGCATTAACCTTCCCTATTTGTTTTACTAATATAGAATGAAATAGAATGTACTAGCTGTTCCGTCTCATATCTCCCAAATTCAAGGTTAATGAAAAGTTGAGTATTGAACGAAATGTATTAAAATAATCCAAATTATAGAATATATTATGTTGCTCTTATTGCTTTTGAATTTAACGGTGAAGTCAACGTGTGCTTGTTTAAATATAGAAAAAGGGAATAACTTTGTTAAAATGTGATATGTATAACGTTTTTTTGACCAGTGAGATAAGCTTATTCTGTCAAGTGACCACTTTCAATGTTTTTTTTTTGTTAATAGGAGAAGCTCGGATTATATGCAGGTTCGTTGTACATACTTTTGCAAAATTGTGCCTTTTAAAAATCATATAAACTCCCTAAAATTGTTTCTATTCACTGTCATTTGCTTGCATATAAAAGGCCAATAGATATCCCTGATGAGAAGGGGAGTTTTCTCTCCGGCAATGAGGAAGACCCCACATTGAATGTTGGTAGCTCATTGTCTATACCTATAACCGTTATCGACACAGAAAAGGTTCGGTGATTAATTTTTGTTGTATATCTGTTTTATACGGTTGAAAAACTTTAAGATTTCTAACTTCTAAGCAATACGTAACAGCTTGTAGCTGTTGGAAGTGTTGAATGGGAGAATCGACTTAATAAGATACAACAGAAATCTCCTGTTGGAAGTGTTGAATGGGAGAATCCACTTAATAAGATACAACAAAAATCTCCTGCTTGTTTTGACACGCCGATCCCAAACCATTATAAACGACAGCAAGTTGGGGTGGTAAGTATTTTATTAGTTCCATTTTATATCAGTCTTGTCAATTAATTATACTTTCAATGATGAGGTGAGATACAGATTTGGTTGCAATGCTTCTGTGATTAAAGAAAATGAAAAAATAGAAATTAGAATGTATTATGCCAAGAAAATTTTCATTTATATTTATATTTAAGAGGAGTGAAACTATCTTTTTAACAGTCATTTTCTTATTAGTTGAAATTTATATTAGTCTCACCATTTTATATGAAACATGTTTTTATAGTTTGGGATCCACATCTATTTCATCCAATAAAAAAATGAATATTGAGAGAGTGTTTATTGCACTCTTATATTCAAACAATAAAATAACTTATATTTAATTATTTAAGAAATAGCTTGAGAATTTCATCCACTTATACTCAAATCAACCTGAGGAAAAAATTATGAGAAACTGAAGAACTAAATTTTGAAGGACATTTTCAAAATCTTCATACGCATAGTCGATTTAATTTCCTTCTACTTGCAATAGCCATCTTTTCTCTATAACTTTGTATTCATGTTGTATTGTAAGTTGTAGTTTGCCATTGTAAATTATTTTTTGGGCGTCATGCAATGCAACATGGTGCCTTGGTGATTTTGTCTGTTAGGTGGACTCAGTCAGTAAAAGTTGTGACAAAAGAGTGACAGGGAAACCTTCTCATTGTCCCGAGAAGTACAAACTTCTAACCGATGACCAAAGTCCAGAGCTAGATGTAAGGTATGATTGCTAGAGATGTTAGTTGATGAATATGTTAAATACTAAAACACGACTTTCCTTCACAAAGTTTTTATTATTTTTCCCAATTGTTTATTTCTCGGACATATCTTTTTTAACTGTTGGAATATTGTGTGTAATTATAACTTGTATTTCTCCTTCTGATCAAGAATGTTTACTTTGGTATGCCATTGTTCAACAAATTATTTGTTATGCAGGGCTGGTTCTAACTTTCCACCCTTAGCCATTGCATGTTATGACATCCATGGTAATCGAGCACCATTTAAAACAATTGCGGATGTGGCTATCCAACTTCAGGCAGCTGAGAACTTGTACTTCAAAGTACATGGAATGAAGATTGGACTCTCAACTGATAATATGATTTTAAAAATCATGGTATGCATGTTGTGTACTGTTGGGTCTTGTTGATTGAAATAAATTAACTATTGCAGTGTTTATGAATAATTGATACAGGATGCAATGGTCACAAGTAATGAATTGGACAAGATAAGGCCCAGCTATAGAACTACTTTGATTATTACTTCAAAACAAATTCCATTGTCACTAACCTTTCCGTGTCGAGGTGCTTTTGATTGATATTTGTCTTTTATTCACCAGGAAATAAATTAGCTTACGGTTTTGTTTATTCTTATGCTTGTTGTCTGTTTTGTACTCAGTTTTTCCTGGTTATCCCAGACATGTTGTACTGAAGCCTGAGATAAGAGAAGACCAACTACTTCCAGGTTTCATTTTCAAGGAGTTAATGTTGGAGGTATTTCAAAGTTGCATATGTAAAATTACAGATACACTCGCAGCCATATATTTGTGTTTTTAACATTATATCAGATTAAGTTTCTAAGTGACATATTTGTTTGTATTTCTTTCATCCAGGTGTTTGATACATACAGAAACCATGTGTCTGAAGGCATGGAGGTTGATATTGTTGTGGCTGGATTTGAAATGCTAAATCATTGCAGTACTTCATACAAGGTAATGCTTTTTTTTTTTTTACAAACGCTACTCTAGTATATACTATGATGAATGTTTTGCATGGATGAATGTACTAGGACAAACATATAGGTAGGTAAATGTATGTATATCCTCATATCAATATAGGCACGAGCTTTTATTTCCCTGTTTTTTTCCTCATATGCTAAATGAAATTTCTGATCTACAGGTGGATGATAAAGGAAAAATTAATCTTACTGGTCTGCTAAAGTTAACTGCGGGTTACGGAGAAATTGGTATGTTGTTAAATTGAATATGATGTTACATATATGTATCCACTAGTTTATACTTTTAAACTTCAAACTGTTCTATGTCGATGTAGCTTGCAATTTTTTTGAGGTTGTGGACACAGTGCCATTATTAGTTAATTTACTTCATGGTTGCAAATTAAAACGTTTTTATATCTTTACATGTATCTAATTTGTCTGCTTCTTGATGCAGCATCCATATCTGTTGTTTTTCAAAATACAAGTATTTTCCAGCAAGAGTTTTCAATTGCGGGAAGAAGCTTGAGAATTGCATCAAAGGTTTAACTTTTTCTATACGCATTTCTACAATGTATTTAATAAATGATATGATATTTCACCGGACTTTAACAAATTTGACATTAGAGTAGAGGATCGAAACTATAATTATTACTATCAGATTCAAAAACAAAAGGTAAAAGAAGCGTTGAAAAGAATGAGTAACAGTAAGGCGGTTGAGACAAACAACATAGCTATTGAAGTGTGAACAATTCTTGGAGATAAAGGCTGTGAGTGGCTCACCAAAATCTTTAACGAAATTATGAGGTCAAAGAAAATGTCTGATGAAGGGAGAAGAAACACTTTAGTTCCAATCTATAAGAACAAGGGAGACTTGAGTTCAATGTGTGGTAAGCATATCAAAGACTTGAGTTGAATGTGTGGTAAGACTAGATATAATAAGATTAAATATGATACCATTAGAGAGATTGTTGGGGTAACATTTATAGTAGAAAAGAGGGTGGAAAATAGGCTTTAGTGGTTTTGACATGTACAAAGAAGACTTGTAGATTTTATTGTAAGGAGAGGAGTCAAACAACTAGAGGTAGAGGAAGACAACAAACTTATAAGAGAAACTACTAAAAAAGATCTCGAGATTAACGGATTGGATAGAAGCATGGTGTTGGATAGAACATTATGACAATGGCAGAGTTTGATCCATCTAGCCGACCCCACTTAGTGGGATAAGACTTGTTGTTGTTGCTGTCGATTGAACTATAGTGTATTTGCTTAAATTTTAACTGCTGTATTGTGTGCAATTTCAGGTGCCTGATTTTTGTGCTGCTGGAGGTCAGCTAGAAAACATTGAATTTGAAATCGTCAATATTGATGGAGAAGTAGATACGAAAATTCATCACGATGATCAAAATTGTCAGTTTCATATGCTTACAATTAAGTCAGACTTCTTCAGTGCAGAGGAATCTATACGGTACACTTTCAAGCATGGACGCTGTACTATCCCATCCATCTGCGTTCCTGAAATTGAGGGGACTTTTAGTTTTGAAGCTTGCCATACACAATATTCCAGGCTATGTCAGGATGTAGAGGTTATATTTATTTATTGTTACCTTTAATATATATTCTGGCCTAGTTATGAATTATAATTGGAGGGATTTGTCTGCAGGTTGAAGTTATCAAAATGTCCAATGTGAAAGATGTTACACAACTTCCCCCGGATATGAACATTTTGCCCCCACAGGAACTAACACCACTTGATCACGAAGACAACTTAATGGTCTCTATCTTAAATAATGATGAGAAGGTATCTGATGTGAATTATGTAATGTTTTGTTTTGATTTTTGTTCTCAAATATAAATGGTTTAGATGCGAATAAGGCATGGTTTTGTTTTGTCATGCTTCAAAATTTCATTATAACAGCAAAATTATTAGGTGATTGCATGAGATTAAAATTAATGTTTTTCTAAAATGCTTTCTCACTTAAGAGATTGTCAACAACGAAACTGTGTTAGGTGATTGGTCAAGTGATTTCTTTTATTCATGTAGCATTGCACTTGATTTTGATTACAAAAAATTATCCTCACGGTTTTTTATTTTTGCCTCAACTTGACTTTGTCTTGATGTACTTCTATGCAGGAACTTGGAAAGATTTTGCGACTTGGAGAGAAAATTAAACAAGTCGAAGAATGTCTTGAAGTTTGTTCTAAGCAAAAGGATGAGATTGAGAAAGATATGTTGATGCTGCAAGGTTTAGTCTGTTACCACATTACGTTATACTTAAAAGTTTACTGTAATTAATAAATGACATGTTTTTTTTTCCGGTGCGTAGTGGAGGTAATGGCGTTTAAACTTACGACCTCATGCACACTACTCAAGCTATTGACCATTACACCAATCTTAGTGTCTTAAATGACATGTTTTGTGGTTTATGTATGTTTTTTCTTTGGCAGATGATGTTCAACATTATCATTTAGACTATGTGGACTCTGGGTTCACCTACACAAAAGAGGAAATGACTACAAAAATTAGAAGCATGGAAAATTCAGCAGCTTCTGTCCTTTGCAGTTTGACTACGGACAAAAAGCAACACAAGATTTTCCTGGAAGATATAATTGGGGTTGTTGCCCTCCTTGGTTCAGTTCAGAGTCCTGAGCTTAGCAAGTGTGTCATATTTTTCTCTTTTCTCATCCCGGCCAACCAAAAATAAAATACTTAGAATAAAGTTATTAGTTTTAAATTGTGATTGTAGTTGTAGAAAATGTTACTATGATGATTGTGGAAATTTCAAATAATGTTGTTTGCACTGAACAATGATATTATTCCATCATTAACGAAATGTCCTCTGTATCACTTGCTCACTAACAACATATTTTGAGGTTTATTGTGCTTCTGAATGAGTTTTTATCTTAATTTATTTGCAGAATTTTAGCTGAATATCTCGGGCAAGAGAAAATGTTGGGTGTTATTTGTAAATCTTTCAATACTGCAATTTCTCTTGAGAAGTACAAACAAAATGGAGAAATCGATTATGTGCATGCTTTGCATGCTGAAGCAGCTGATCTTGGAAAAGCTATTAGCAAGCGTTTTTTTGTCATGTCCTTTGATGATATAAGGTAATGCAGTGTTTCAGGGGTCACCACAACCAATATAATTAATTTTATAGATATTTTTTTGTTGAAAAAATTATAGGACAAGGATTTATGACTAGATGCTTTTCATTTTTTATTTTTGTCTAGAGAAGACATCATGCAGACATTGTTTCCATTGACAGGCCATACAATTCAATTGACAGGCCACACAATGGGTCCTGGCATGATAATGACTCTCAGAGGAAGCTATTCTTGCCTGATCCCAAGATGCCAAATGGGAGAACGCCAGTAGGCTTTATGGGTTATGCAGTTAATATGATTGATCTGGACACCCATCACCTGCAGATAAAGACAACTTCAGGGTACGGGCTTCGCGAGACCGTGCTCTTTAGCCTTTTCAAGAAACTCCATGTTTATAAAACTAGAGAGAATATGGTGGATGCTCTTCCCTGTATAGAGGAGGGTGCTGTATCATTAGATGGTGGTATTATAAGAGAAAATGGAACTCTTTCTCTTGGTTATGGGTAAGTATTTTTTTCTCTTTTTCTGTCTGTCAGCATGTGATGACTTCTAGCTTGAGCATATTAGTCTCAATTTTGCATGGATCTCATTGAACTTAGGGGGTGTTTCGTATAACTCATTATCTCATAACATAAACACAATATAAGCATTTGAAAGAGAAAATAGTTTATGATGTGTTACCAAAAGCAAGATAAGTGAAAAAAAAAAGAGATGAATTTGATTTTGTAAATGTCTTTAAACTTTTATTTAGATCCAGTACAAAATCACCCTTTAAATGTCTGACTTTTTACAAACCATGATACTTCCGCATTTCTTTGATTATGGTTTGTGTATTATGCCTAGGTTTTTGAGTAGAAATTACTCATCTTACTACTATATGTTTTGTAGGAATCCTTGTATATGCTTTCCTTGTACAAACAAGTTGGACATTTCTCCCGAAGCTAGGGAAATATTGACTAAGATTGAAGGAAAAAAAGAAGCGCTGCTGCGGATTGAAAAAAATATCGAAAAAGTAACTAAACATCACAAGAAGTATCTACAAAAATTTAAGGAAAAAGAGAAGAAATATAATAATCTTATGGATACAATGAAGACCGAGGTATTCCCTAAATATCCTCTGGTAGACTGAGTTGATTAACCTTTTTTGGTTTCTATTCTTTTGTTCATTGAACTTAGAGCTTTGGATAGTGGGCTGTCATGTTGGAGTTTTCGGTGGCCGGCTTTCAATGACTTCAGAGGAATACCATATGCTTTTATATGAGCTAAAGGCATTTTGAGATTAAACTCAGATCACTTGACAATATTCTATATGTCTGTTTCTTTTGTTGGATTAATGTTTATCGGGTGCTTATAATTTTATCAAATAACTAATATTGCATCAATTTTGTATGAAATCTTTAAACATAAAATGCCATGTCTGAGTGCATGTTTGGTATTGGAGTGTCTTCGTTGAAATCACCTTGAATCACCTTCAAGGACAATTGGAGGTTAAAGCCTCTGGCAGCTTCAGCCCCTCCAAGATTTTTAAAGTTCTTTTTACACTTAATAATATACAACACCAAACCCACATCTAAGACACATATACCTCTTTACTTTAAGATTTGATAATTAATTTGTCTTTTCCAAGGCTCAAGCTACAGTTAGGTCTCACGTGAGTCACATTGCTATTTCGATGGATTTTTGTTTTTTATTTTTTTTTAAACATGTAGTAGAATTTATTAACTCCGAAAAAATAAAAACTCTCACAAAATAACGATGAGAAACCTATAATGATTGAAAATTTCTTATTTTATTTTATGTCTAAAAAAAGACTTTATATAGTTTCTAAAATATCCCTCAAAAATCAAAAATTTATTTGTTGTGCACACTTTTTTTTAAGTTGCATTCACGTAAAATCAAAAATGCACTTTCAATATAAATTGAAAATACACTTTCGGTTCCTAAATTATTATGGCTTCTCAATGTTATTTTCTTTGAATTATACAATTGGTCTTCAAACAATTCATTCATTTTGGTGACAAATAAATCAAAGTAGACTGTACAAAATATGTTGGACTACTTTGACCGGATTGAATAGCAAAAACATTTCAACTTTTTAGAATAGCAAAAACATTTTAAATCATAAGTAGTTGGACTACTCACATTTTAAATCTTACGATGTAGTGGTTGTTTAGGAATTGACATTGCATTTTCGATTTATAACGAAAGTGTATTTTTGATTTTAATTTTACTGTAAAATATGATGAATTTTAAAACGAATAAATTATATGTGTGTGAAGGTGTGAACTGGAAATATATTTTTGATTTTCAAGAGCATTTTTGAAATTTCGCGTGGTAGATTAAAAAAATATGAGTTAAAATAAGAAATTCCCTAAAGATCATGTACAGTAGACAACACTCATTACCAATACAAATTTTTTATCTTTAGATTTTTAAACACGTGTCCTTAAAACATATGTTAGCATTTTTAAATTCATAGTTAATAAAAACATTTTTAACTAACTCAACATCACACGTGTCCATTTAAGTGATTGCCCTCTTTGTTTCTTAACGGGTCCACAACTAGGGTTTCATCTTCTCACAAAGAAAATTGTATTTCTAAGGTCTCAAAGAGATTTCACGATCTCTTATATGTCCCCAAAAATGCTCATATCAAGTTTCATGTCTTGCATCACAAGTTTGCTCAGTCAATGACTCAGATGACTGAAGATCAACTGTATTGGGTAAAAAACAATTGTGGTCAACATACAGTCAAACTTCAAGATTTTTGGTCAACATCAATATTTTGAAGTCATATTCATCATTTGATCAAGGTTTGATCATGATTCATCAAGGAAAACTCTCAAATCATCAAAAGTCAAAAGTTGCCAAATTAGGGTTTCCTAAGGAGAAGTCAATTGAACTTTGACCAGACACAACTTTCACATGCTTCATCATATTTTCCTCAACCAAATCTCTTTTTGAATGAAATTCAATTCACTACAACTTTGACTCTCTAAGCTCAAGTCCAAAAAATGCTTCATTTGAGAGATATGAGCCAATACATTATAGGTCATTTCAAAAGTCAACAAAAAGACACTTTTTGACAAGGCAACTTACATCAAGATAAAATTTTCAAATGCAAAAATTATCAACATAGAGATTGTAGGAGACATCTTGAGTTTTCTAAAAAGTCCAAGATCACCTTCAAATGACAAAAATTGAGAGAGTTATGACTAGTGCAAGTTGGGAAAGTTTGAGCAAATGCATGAAGTTCAAATTGAGCAAACTTGACTTTTTGGGCTATTGGACTATTGTTTCAGAGTCCAAACGTGTTCTACACTCCATATAGACCTCACATCTTACTCATTCACCTCTTAATCTTTTTTATTTGAATTATTTTATTCATTATTAATTCAAAATAAATAAGATAATAAGACAAGACTTATTACAAGAGTCCAAGCCCAACTTTTGACCTAAATTCTCTTCTATATATTGCATGCATTCAGACATCGAAATCAGCCACGAAAAACCTTGTCCAAGAAACCTCCAAAAAATTACAAAACTTTCAAACTTAGGGCAACTTGCAAAACCTATTTGCAGCCGTTTTCAATACATACTAACCATCATATTCATTCTCAGGAAGATTAGAGGGTAAGATGAGATCATTTGTAATGATCTAAAGGGCTCGAAACACCCCTGCATGCATTATTGTCCTATCATTATTTCATAAATTCATATTTTAATTTTCTTACTGTTTTGATTGAAGCTGACGTTATTGATGCGCTTCTGAGGTTCATTAGTGCAGGACTGGACCATCACAGGAGTCCCATGATACCGGAATCGTGCATCATCATGATTGCACCGATTCCATGTATTTTTGTCATAACTCTCAAACCAGTATGTTTTAGCCCAAAATAACCACTATATTGGATTCATAAGGCCTGATTTAGGGGGGTATGGTCCCCTTGGTTTGCTAATATCTCTTATTTCACAGGTTGAATGTAAGGGAGCTACCGAAGAAGATGACTAGAGCTAGGGATCCAACGTCTCTCCAGTCTATGTGTTTTTGTTTAATATTTGTTTTAATTGTTTCAGTTTAAACAATGAATGTATTACCACCCCAGTGGTTGAAGCGCGCGCAATAAGACACTAATATGCCAAGGTGTGGATTCGATCCCAGCCATTTGGAATTTTTATATTTTTCATGATTTTCCTTGTTTTGCAGATTACAAAACACGATGGCTTGCATTCCCTAACACATGCGCGCTCCTGGCCTAGTGGTGAGCATGCTAGATGGGAATGCTAAGGGCGTGGGTTCAAGACCCACCCCTGGCAATTTCGGGTTTTTTTCTCTACTATTTTCTATGTTTCTCACTCTTTTTCACCCCTTTTCCTTTAACTTCACAAAACCTTTGACAAAACCTTCTTTTTTCCATAAACCCTAATTAGTTTTTTAGGTTTTCATTTAATCAATTAATTTAGGTTTTTTAGGTTTTTTTTTTAATTTAATCAATCGGTTCTTTTCTTAATAAATTAAAATAAATTAGGTTTTAGGGTTAATAATCATTAAAACCTTCTTTTCTAAAAATCACCAAAAAAACCCTTTCGCTTTCCTATCTTACATTTTCGCGTAGTTTATTATTCTCGCATTTTTACGATTATTGTAATTGCTCATAGTTTATAATAGTAATTAGGTTTACTTTCCCGCACTGTTATTATTTTTATAATTTTCCCAAAGCCATATAATAGTCTAGGGTTTTATTTTCCGCTTTTACTTTCCAGTTATTTACCGCTTTCCTATTTTTTACTGTTACTGTTAGTAATTAGGTCATGTATGGGAATATAAAATAAAATGGTAGCAAACCCTAATGCAAGATAAACAATAACTGAATCACAACACACTTTGCACACCCTCACCTCTAGGGTAACCTCCCTTGATGCCTTTCGATAAAAACATTCAAGTCCCTCGAATATGGGGACGCTTTAGCACTATCCCTCGAAAACAAAGATCGTAGTCCCCCGATGAACCTTTCGATGTTTCCTTCGGTAAACGATCTAGTCCCTTAAGAAATTGCTAAAGCGCCCCTACGAGTTTCCTTCGATGACTGTACGATAACCCGCACATGTCCCTTCACATCCAACGATAGGGCTTCCTACTAACTAATGGTAGGATAACATTATCTAAAGGAGGAGGAAAATGACAAGAAAGACTTTGAGTAGGTAGAACGCTCATAATCGCTTGCTCACAAACATTTCAAAACAAAAACATCTTTCACAATCACACTTTCTAAAATATTTTCAAAATAAACACTTTGTACGCATTCTCAAGAACAGAAACGAGAATCGTTACAAAGTCGTCTTATGATTGGCATTTTCAAAATATTTTTTTAAACACACAACACAAAGCATTTTCAAAAACAAAGTGAGCTAGCGATTAAGAGCCCGTAGATAAAACGCAATAATCTCAAGGTCTTTCCTGTTCTTTTCACCCCTTCCTTATTGAATAATAGAAAAGTCGGTGGAAACTCTTGCTATCTGCAACATTTGCAATAAAATATAAAACCAAGTTAGTTCTCCCACCGTATTACACCGGTAGTTCAATTTTTTTAAATAAAAATACCAGAAATTTAGAAATTTCCGGTAGTTTATATTTTCCTAATATTTTATTATTTTACAGTGAGGACTAGAGGCATAGATGGTTCTATTGCGGAATATACCACTGATATAGTTGATGCTGAAGTCCAGGCTGACGAGGCACATACTTCAGAGCTACGGGATGAACGTCATCCTATGACTGGTTCTCACCAAAAATAGATGCCTGAGCAACAGGCGCAATTCCGTGCACCCCGCCGTCAGGGTGTTAGAGTATCCACCACTGGGGATGTACAAGCTCATACGGAGGAGGTACAGGCTCCTATTGAGGAGGTACAAGCTCATGTTCCTATTATGGAGTCGGTAGTTAAGGAGAACATTGTGGAGCCTGTGGTGCAGGAGGCTAACCAGAAGGTTGTTGCTAAATGAGTTGATGAGGTGTCCCCCGCTCCCTCTTCATCTTACCCCTTTCTTACTAGTGCTACATGTTGTGGGATAATGATCTATATATCATATCTCTAAACATATGGTACATATATTGTTATTGATTGGCCT